CCCCCCTTTTAATACCCACACACACAGCCCACTCCCACACACACACACCCCCCATAAAGTTGTAGCCCAACCCGCAATTTTGGAGAAGGGGAGAAAAATTAAAGGGGAGGCAAGCAGGGGGGTCCCTTTTTTTCTTTTTTTTTTTTTTTAATGGGGGGGGGGCGGGGGGGGGGGGGGGGGGCATAGCGACACCCAGTGAACAACATAATTGCTGCAATGTGGCGTGTAATAATAGCTATTCAAGGGCCAATCATTCATATTAAACAGGGTGAAGCAAGCCTCTCATTTGCATGCTTGAGATTATATGCATTTGAAAAGTCATTTCCTCAGGGTATATGAATGGCATTAATTCCCACGGGGCACGCTCTGCCCCCCTCCTGGGAACTTACACCCACTGAAACCAGCAAGGAACGCTCACCTCTGCCCTTCGATGCTCGCCCTCTGAGAATGAGCACACCATCAGCCTCAAGCCTCCAGCTCACCTCTCCACAGGGTGTTGCAATAGCACTGGGGTGTTCCCTGCACTGTGGGTGAGCAGCTCCGGTGCCTGGGGCCCAGCCTGCTAGGGTTGGGGTGGGTGGGGTGCTGGAGGTAAGACTTGATATCCATGCCCTGCAACTACAAGAATGTGGGGTGTAGCGGAGGAAGCGTGTCCATGAGAACCTGGACCCTGGCTAGAGGAGAAGGCAGGGGCCTGGGCGTCAGGCAGCCTGAGCTCGGCCACAGCCAGCTGTGCACACTGCCTTCCTCCTGCTCTGGGCCTCCACTTCCCCGTCTCTACATGGAGAGGTGGTCTTGACGGTCTCTTAATCCCCTGGCCCAGCACGTGGACATGAAGCCAGACTGTTCTAGTGGCTGGAGGGAGCCAGTGAGGGTTCATCGGAGTCACAGCTGGTCTCAAAAGGCGAGAGCAGACTTGAGCTTCCTGCCCCGTAAGGGGGGCACCCTCCAGGAGTCCCCTCCTCCCTTCACTCTGCTCTTCCACCTCTGTCCACACGCTCCTCCCCCAGTCACCCATTTCCTCGGCAAACAGCAGCTGAAACCCACAGGGAGGAGAGAAGCCCTGGGAATGGGACTACCTGGTTTCCGGGGCCTGATGCAGGACTCTGGGCAGGTCACTGCCTTTCCCAAGATAATGGCTGTTCTTTCTTCCTTTATACAACGCGTACGTGGGGGATTGGGAGGTCTTTCTAGGGCTCAATGCACGGAAGCCCTCACTCCCCACTCCAGCCTTCCCAGACCCCTCTTGCAGCCACGCTTGGGGCAGAGAAGAGCAGCTGCCCGGGAGTTATTTCAGGTGATCCAGGGTTTCTGTCTGGGGCTCTGATCCTGCCCTTAGGCAGGTCCTAGTCTCCCATCTCTCGGGGTTCCCCTTCGGGAGCCAGGGCACCCCAGGGCCTTGAGCCCGGCCTTTAGAAGGAAGGAAGCTGGGTCAAAGCCACAGCCGCCTCTTCCGCTCTGGGGGAGTCTGCGGGCCGCTGGGGGCTCCCACTTCCCCAGAGGCTCCTGGCCCTTCTAAGAACCCCGTAAGGTGCACCGTGGGGGACGCCTCGGAACTCCTCTGGGTCGCCCAGTCGCCTCCCTGGCGGAAGTGACAGCTCCACCTACCTTGGGACCAAAGGGAGGACCCAAGGGCCAGGGTGCTTTCGGGGGAGGGGGAAAGGGATGGGGAGTCCTACACGTGGAGAAACCTTTGTGCCTTTTCCGCGGGCCCATATGGTGTAAGAGAGTATTAATTACCGTAGCTTTTTAATTAACAATCGCTTAGTCTGAGCCCTAACATTTGCCACGACACCCGGCGCCTCGCTGCGAACCCGCGCTGCCGGCCCAGCCAACTCATCAATTAATTTTTATTGACGGTTTCTTCCCCAAACAGGCACAATACCAGGGTTTTCCAATTAACACCTCCGCGATCTCTAATTAGTGCAATTAACAGACTGATGGATGCCCGGAGTTTACCGCGAAGGAGGGGGAGGGGCAGCCCCAGCGCTGCTCTGGGGGCTGAGCCTAGCAGGGCGCACGTGCATGCGCGCCACTGGAGGGGGCGCACCCGCAGTTCTTTGGGAAGCTTGGAGGGTGAGGGTGTGACTACCGGTTACCTGTACCCGGAGCAGTGATGGTGGTTTGAGTTGAAGGAAGGAGACACTGTGTCCAGCCCTCAGAAGCCTATGATCGATGGACGCGCCCGGAAAGTCTAGGTGAGACTAGGAGTTGGAAACCCGGCCTCTGGTCCCAGCTTTATCTCCTAAGTGCTGAGTGACCTGGGCCAGGTTAACTGCCCGCTTTTCTCCTCTGGATACTGGGGATAATGCGACTAGATGTAGCTATTTATAATGTATACCCCTATCAACTCCTCAAAAAAGACTGGGCAGCAGCCTGCCATGAAAGACAGATAAAGATTCTTAAAATATATTATCATGGGTGGTAGGAAGGGAGAGTAAATGGATTAAAACTTTAAGCCTGAGAACGTCAAACTTGAGTGCATCAGGGTCGCCTGGGAGAGCTTGTTCTAACACAGACGGCGGGGCCCCAGGCCTGGAGTTTCTGACTCAATAGGTCTGCAGTGAGCCTGAG